GTTCTAAACAAAATTATATATGTATGTGCTGACATACATATATGCGCGCTGGCGCACAATAAATCATAACAAAAAGGCGTATTACTGAGTGTAAACATCACGTGACACGCTTACACGCTCCCGAGCTCGGGCCCGGACGGAGTACCCACTGAAACCCACTGCCGCCTGTCGCCGCGAGGAATCGCGACGATCTTTGTCCTTAGGCGAGCGCAGTAGATGTCGTAACTGACCAGGTGGGCGGAATATCGTCCTGATGCTGTATCTACGGCGTAACAGGTGTCCGATGGTGTCGGTTACTCCTTTCACATAGGGTAAAAATGCTGGAGTCCGTTCTGCAACTGCTGGTCGTCGTTTACTTGACGAGCTCGCCATTCGAGTACATTGACGCCAGTTGTACCCATTATTTTCCGGTACCTGTCTCAGGTAGTGGTGGTTGATACCGACGCATACGAGGACAAAATTACGCAAATGGTGAGTGACACCACGGTCTACAAGAAAGTGTCATTTGATCCGACAGCCCGAGTGACTGCAAAATCTGTTAATTTGTTGCAGGGCCTGGGTGACAAAGAGTTGGTAGCACAATTACGCCCTCATAACCCTACACCACCCAAAATCTACGGTTTGTCCAAAATTCACAAGCCAAACTGGCCCCTGAGACCTATAGTTAGTCAGATTGATGCACCAACGTATAAACTGTCGCGGCATCTAGCAACTATATTGCAATCGTTCACTGGTAAAACCTGTGGGTAAAACGAACCCTTACGTGAAAGATTCCCGATATCGAATCACCCTATTAGCGGATATCCGGCTCGGGATACGAACTCGGGATACGACCCGGGATACGAACACAACAACACCAACGCAGCTGCCGGCAGGCGAGTCTAGCGTGCCAACAGCGCCACGCGCGCCGCCGTCGCCGATACCACGAATGGAAGAAAGTGCGCGTGAATCACGGCAGAGGGCGCGCTGGGCCCACAGACTCGAGTAGCCAGTAGCAGCGCGACAGTCGCCGCGTCGCGGGTAGCGAAATGCTGCTCATGAATATGAGCCTCTAGCCTCTGAGCCTCATGGCTTGAAACTAGTCGAGTTTCTCGTCAAATTATTATGTGAGTAAGTCGAAAACATAATAATTTATTTAGTATGGCTCACGGAAGTTACAATACGAATCAGAAGATATTATAAGAGGAGAAGAAAAAAACTATAGTTTCCACTTCCCTCGGTGAATTACTACAGGAGACAGAATGAATTAAGCCTGAAGGCTCAAAAAAGAGACTGTACAACTGGGTGAAGCCCAGTCGCCAAGCACCACAGAAAGACTAAAAACTAAGTCAAAAAAAAATTAAAAAATAATGTGGTATGGCAAAAACGCCTAAACGCACGAAAATATGTTCAAGATTCCACAAGGTCCGTATAATAAGCTACACCTGACGAAACAATTAAATTATTCAACATAGTGTTACGTTCATATTGCCAGAGATCACACTCCCAGAGTATGTGATGGGCCGACTGCTCGTATTGCAGCTCCACTGTCGAACATTGGCACCATGGTGAATCAATAAGTTTAAATGAAAACAATTTGCTTTCAAAGTTGCCGTGGCCAGTAACAAATTGGGCAACATAGTGATCCACCTCCAACCATGTCCTCTCCAGCCGCTCATGAATGGGAAGAACTGACATAGGTGGCGGCCCTTAATATAAGCTCGCCCCAAACGCTCGATAATGGCTTAAATAATCTAAAAGTCCGATGAAAGCTTGCTGATAAATTAGGTTTCGTAGTAGTATATAGCAGCACGTCGCTGCACCTCAAGATCTACCGGAAGTACGTCCGCGAGCACAGGTAGGGCCTCAGTGATCATCTTCCTATAAGCCTTACACAGGAAAATCAAGACTAGACGCTGGTATACCATATATATCGCCGTACCGCGCCTATTGTAGCCCTATCAGCCCAGACAGGTGCCCCGTAGCACACGCATCACAGGTAGGTTGCTCCGTATATGATCCAGAGCGTAAGAGAAGACTCCAGACCCTTATCAAATTCTAGTAAAAATCCTTATTGAAAAACATAATAGATGCATTAGTCATCCCTACAATTTTCGAAAGTTCCGCTCGATTTCCTGGGATTCCATCATCAGATCCTGACCTCATGAAACTGGGACCCTCTCGCGGGTATAACCTTTCAAATAAAACAAGAATTTTATCGGTGAACAAACAAAAAGAAACAATCAGCCGAACATAGTACCTCCTCCTTTTTTTCAAGTCGGTAAAAACAAGCTCCGTATTGCCGCGCACTAAACGAATGCGATGGAAATACGACAACTCGGTCCGCCAGTTCCACATGTCCGGCACCCAGCTAAACCTAGTTCAAGAGATAAAGCTGCTGGGACTGGCTGCATTACAGACTGTCACATTCAATGCGCACGTGTCTGCAACTTCACCCAGCATCACTCACGATAACAGAATATACACGCCTAGAGGATCTAACTCCCAGAGAGACCCACCAAGCGATCCCCTCATACACGTATATCGTCCGTGTATATACACGGACGGTAGCAAGGTAGAGGGTAAAGTAGGAGTCTTCCAATCTGAACTATATGCCTTCCGAGCCAAGATGGTGAGAGAATCCGGTGAGGCATCTGACCGATGTTAAGCGACTCAAGATCTTCGCTTGACCTGCTGAGGAGTCCCTTCGTCGCTCAAATAACCCTTGAATGCAGAAACAATCAATGTCACAATACACGTAAGTACCTATCTTCAAAGAAAAGTTCACGCAGGTATCAACGTTAGTCAACAGCTGATTCGTAACACTGTGTAATGATTTACTTAATACTTTTTATTATTGCAATACTGATGAATACGAATGATGCTAAAGTTAGTAGTTTAAGGTCTAAATAATGAAAACATTTCTACCTACTTAAGTAGGTAGGATCCAAGAGCTCAGCTGTTTGCGGTTTGATTATAGGTAAAAACGCATTGTACCTAGGTAAGTTCAGTAAAAAGTTCCATTCGTGTACTCTTCAATACTAAATGCATTGTAGGTAGGTATATCTTGCTGAATAGGTACAAATAATTTAAAATTAGTAATGAGTCTGTATCTGTAGGTTCTTTAGAGACGGAATATACTAGTAAATAAAATAACATATCTACCTGTGTCACTCGGAGTTTTCGTTCGAAGTTTTCGTCAACACAGTTACTGTTTTGCACTACCATTGAACACAACAACACAGATTGATTGGACTATGCAACACTACGACACTTGTGTTCAAGCACTGATCACTTGCAGTCTCTCAGCATGCATGACTTTCATGTCATGCATAGTCATAGGTTTGATGCGAATATTTCTATAGAGATTGTTTTCACTGCAACTGGTGGCATCACGGTGGCATAAAGGTGAACTAGGTATCTCGACTATTTTTCTGTTATCATTATCACATAAACAATGAACTAAGAACTTTGATAATAATTAGTGAAACGAAGTTTAAGGTCATACGAAATAATTTCGTAAACGACTACCCCGGCAGCACAGTACACGTAATTACTCCGGCAGTGCCAAAGAACAATTTTATTGCACAAACTGAACTGAATGCGTTTGCGTGTGCGCCGTAGGGGTGAGAGTGTTGTCGCGGAGGACCTAACGGGTTACTGAGGCGAGGCGCGGGACTCGAAGCGCAGGAGAAGGAACAGGGTGGATTTTAGTCAGTAAGAGTCTGACACTCCCTCCCGCCTGGAGTCATTCGATGATTTTCCCGCCTTAAAAAAAAAAGAGGTGAGAGTGCTAGAGGGTGGAGTCGGTTCGCGCACTTATTGGAATTTTAGGGAATTAGTAGTAATAATATCAATAATGTATTTGAGTTTGTGTCATTGTGTGTTGAGCAACGTTATAAAGCTAGTTACAAGGCGGCGACGTGTAATCGGGCTGAGTTCACACTTACGGATTTCCGTAATTTACAAAAATATTAAAAATTACCTACAATTTTTTTATTGATTTGGACTAAGAAACGATAGCCGAGTTACCTCCTTGAAAAGATTTTTCTCGAACAGCATCTTGTATATACATATTTATCTAAAACTTTTAAAACAGTTCGAAAATATAGTTGATGTATGTAGTTCGTCTCATGAACTTTTCTGATCATGTCAGAGTAGGTTTTAGCCGATAAAACTCGGCCACAATGTACTGCCGGACCGAAACCGGTTTCCGGCGATCTCGAAAATTATCGACCGTCCTCCAAAACTATTACTAAGGTAAGTTACCTTGAACTTTTTCGAACTTTCGAGGATATAAGCTTATTATAAAAAAATATCAGGTGTCTTCGATCAGTTTCAAGCGTATTCGAAAACTAACTAGCGTCCTCTATCACTTTTGATTATCCATAAAAAATTTCAGGCGAGTACGAATACTATCATCGAGCAACGTCGAAAACCATCGAGTGTCCTCGATCACTTTGCGGTGGGCTTAAAAATGGTCGAGCATCGTTGAAAATTATTACTTACTAAAATACAATAGCTTTAGTTGGGAGATTGAGCGCCGGGATAGAGAGAGAGGAGGAACAATTTAAGTTACATTTAAAAATAAAATATCCCTATTTTATAAAATACCTACTAACTTTTTTGTTTTATCGAGTATTTTACCTCACCCAAAAAGGGATATTACGAATTATTTATTTATTCAGTATTTATCGGAAAAACACCTATTATGGTACCCGGGGCCCGGGCAGAGATATTGCAAACATTGTTGGTACTACCAAAGTTATAGAATATTCTTTAGTTCCTACACGTCTTTGGACGCCTAATTGTAACAGTTTACCAAGGTTCGCGTTAGCTTCTTCGGTGAATCAAATAAAAAAAAAATCAATCTCAATGTTAAAGAATTACCAATATATCAGTTTGATTCGGAAAATCAAATGAATTCGGAGTATTTTTAAAATAATTGTGCATTGTGTACAATAATAAAAAACAAAATTAACATCGATGTATATCGTGCACCTCAACTCTTTGGTGCGAGGCGAGGAGTATTTAAATATTCTGTATAATCTGTGATCTGTTGGACTGTTGCAGTTAGCTCGCAGCTGTCAGTTGACAGACGTAAGACAGAGAGATCGATTGTTGTACTTGTAGATAGAAATGATTGTATGATAACAAACAAGTTGTATTTCGTATCAAATCGAATAGTTACAGATGATGTGCCTTCTACTGCAAGCGCCACAAGGGAGACTAGTTTTATTGTGAACCGAGTACAAGCCGTACCTGTGTATTATTGATAGTATTGTTATGTTATTGTGGAGACATGGATAATTTCTTCACGGACTTTACCAAAAATGGTAAGTTTATGCGTCACTAGCTCTAGCTGGCGGCTTGTATTGTCACTGTAGTTGATGACAACATAACCTGCGCATTATCAGCACAGACTTGCTCCCGCCAGTACCGGTGTGTATGTATGCAGTGTGTATGTAACCCCAGGTGTATTATAAAACGCATCTGTCTCGTTATTTTCGTCTGTCCCTGCTGTAAATCAGTCACAGTGCCGTGACCTGCCCGCGCCACGCACAGTAGTTACACAGTCGTTTCCTCAGTATCAGTTGGCAGTATCGCTACATACCCACAAGGAAGTAGTGGTAGATAACGTCGCGCGACGTGCCACGCCGCTACAGTACTACATTACTGTTGCTGAATATACAATGTGGATGCTACCAGTCTGCAACAAGTAGTGCGCACAGCCTCAGAAGGGTATGCAGTGAATGCTCCAACTGTATAAACATTCAACAGTTTGTTGTGTCTGTGGTGTGTGGACGACACTTGGCTTTGTAACATGCACTTTTCACTATTTATGTTATGAGTCCCTTGTAATAGGGGGTGAGTCTATTGCCATAGTCATCTGTACTAACTGTTGAAGGGTTAAATTACTGTTCATAATATTAATGAAATCGTACTTGGATTATGCTAGCAGTGCTGGTAGTACTTCTCCACCTTAAAGTGTGTAGGGAGCTAGTGTTATTGAAACGACTGAAGCCGATTTGTTACCTTTTATTACTACTCATCTTAGACTGATACAATATATTTTATAACACAGATCTTACTTGGTACATACATACATACTATATACATGTCAAGTGATTGAGACGATTGCTATGTTAATTACATTTTCCACTAATTGCTTTTTAAAAATATGACACTAGCTTCTGTCTGCAACTTTGTAAAAAAGTATTGGATAAAAAATGTCTGTCTCCTGGTTCTAAGCTACCTCCCCATCAATTTTCATCCAAATTGATTTAGCCGTTCTTGAGTTATACATAGTGCAACTAACATGACTTTCTTTTATAGATAGAAGATAAATGTAACACCCACTTTTCACTATTTATGTTATGAGTCCCATGTAATAGGGGGTGAGTCTATTGCCATATACTGGACTCATTCCAGACTCCGTTTCACTACTTATAAAATTCTTTAACCCAGTAATTTTTGCCCAGCCCGGGAATCAAGCCATTCAACCAATGAGGCATGCATTGTTATTATTGTTGTACATTATATGCTACATAGAATTTATTGAAGTGCTGCAAGTTGATGTAGTACAGTAGACACATTGTGTGACTGGGTGCTGTATATGAGGCATACTGTACCGGGGTGTGGGGAGCCATTAGGAACACTCAATCCACTGAAATGTCTCAAATACAATGTATGTGTTACAGTAAATACAAACTATAATGAACCAGTTATCATTTAACTCGCTGCTAATACAAAATGTCTCCTGTCCGCTGTGTTCATGTTATTTTAGTTTGTATTCATTTGGGTTTTACAACATTATGACAAAAGAGGTTGATTGTATCCCTTGCCCCGTGTTATCCAGAAATCATTCAAGTGAAGTATTACGTGCTATTAGCCATTTAATTCTGTACATCAGTAAACATTGTCGCACACAGAGCATGCACTGTATGTATGTATGTATGTAGGCTCCCTCGTGTCTGTCACTCTGTATAATGTACAGTGAAGTATTTGTTCAGTTTCTCAATATGTGTGGTGTTTGTATGTAATATTGTTGTGTGACATGTCATCACATAGTTTAGTTTATGTCTGTCCGGTGTTTGTTGCAGACATGTTCGCGAGCTGGGTGAGTAGTGCTCGTAGTGGAGGCGGGCGGGCGCGGCGCGGGTGAGTAGTGCCCGGCGACACCGGAGTAAGTACTGTACTGACGTGCTACGCTCGCGTTACAGACGCCGCAGCCGGCGCCGGGCGCCGCGCAGCTGCCGGCCGGGCATGCCACACCCGCCACACGACCGCCGCAATCACTCGCCAAGCGACCGCCGCGCGACCGATACTGTGAGTCAAACAGACCGACACTACGCTCCACTCTCATACTACACATTGCTTTCATTCACAGAATTATAGACATGGTTACATATCTTCCATTGCTGCCTCTAAATATTTCGGCAAAATAATGTTGGCAGAAATAATGCGCCGGCGCATGTGACATATCACTCGAGTTGTCTCCTGTCAGTTGTTGTCAGTGTCACGCATACAGCCACTACTGTCAAACTGCCAGATTAAAAAGTAAGAATGTTCGTAAGTAGTAGTCGCGGGTAGTCGGCGCACGTTCGATGTCAGTGTAGATGTACCCGCGGCCGCAGTACTCAGTAGCTCGGCGCCATTGTACGTAGCGCGCCATTGTACAGTAGCTAGCGGACTGCGAGGACGACATGTGTGACAACGAAGGTAATACCATCTAGTCGTGTATCATGTAGTACATTGTAATGTATGTTGTATGAGTAACGCGTGTGGGCGCGCAGTGCGTAGTGTTGCAGACGGCGAGCCGCCCGCCAAGCGCGCCGCGCCCTCCATCCGCGTCGGCGCCGGCTTCAAGTGGAACCTGCAGGTCAGTGGACAGTAGCAGTACTGCAGTACTAGGTCCGTGTAGCAGGACAGTACAGGACGAGGCATGTCTGCAGACGCTGGCGGCAGCGGCGGACGCGGTGGAGTGCGGCGGTAAGTCCCCGGTGTCGGCGCTGAACGAGCTCGGCGTGCGCGTGGCGTACTGCGTACTGCGGCAGGGCGGGCCGGCGCACTGTCCCAGCTTCCACGTCGCCGTCACCGTGGCGGACCTCCGCTTCGAGGGCTGCGGACACTCCAAGCGCGAGGCCAGGGCCGCGGCCGCCCGCGCCTGCCTGTCGGCTCTGCTCGCCAGGGCGGGGCGCGTGCTGCCTCCGCCCGCGCCCCCCACCGCGCACCCGCGCGCCCCCGACTTCACGAGCGACGAGCCGCACATGTTCCCCCCCAGTAAGTATAGCACACAGTACTCCACCACACACACACACACACACACTGTCACGTACAGCATGGTATATCTGCGCGCAGTGTCAGAGTTCCAGTGCCCGGCGCCGATGCAGTCGCTGCCGCCGGCGCCCGCCCCCCGCGTATCCCCCGCGCCCCTGGCGCTCCCGAGCACAGAGCTGAGCAACGGCTCCAGTAAGCCGGTGGAGATGGCGGTGGACAGCTCGGCCGCTCTGTTCGGCGCCGGGGGCGGGGGCGCGGCGCTGAAGAGTCCCATCAACGTGTTGTACGAGAACTACTCCGGCCTCACGTTCACCTGCACCTTCGGGGACGGCTCCCCGCTGACCGCGCCGCAGGGTGAGCGCCTTACCCTACTAATGTTATACAGGCTAGTGTAGTATGACAGTGCGCGATGTGCTAAGTATACAACGTACATTGCAGCGCCGCTGCAGCTGAGTCACAGCATGCGGTTCAAGGTGGTCTGCCAGGTCAAGGAGCACAAGTTCGAGGGATACGGTGAGACGTTACATTCATACTCATTACTCAGTCGCTGACACTCGCAGGCGTCGAATGATCGCTGAAACTATTCCTCAGTAACTACTGTGTTCCGACAACAATTGCTGAGGACTGGCTGAAGTGACCGTCGAGTGTCGGGCTCCTTTAATGATCACTTTGCTACAGTTGCACATTGCTCCAGTAATGTATATTTACTTAGTGTGGGGTAGTAGGAAAATATTTTTTTCTTATACTTAACTATTTTGTTGTAAGTGACTTGTAGTTTATTTGTAAACATTATTCCTTCGATTGTGCGCAGGTATTACACTGACTGACTGACTGACTGACACGAATGAGTTCGTCAACAGTCCGTTGTGTCAAGTATTGACTTGAAGTATACCAACAAATAATATTGTCTGACCAATCTATGTTTATTGTAAAGAAGGATTTATTGAGACAGATGAGTGTTTATCCCGACCTTTTTTAAAATTTAAGAAACCCCTAATTTGTTTAAGGAGTCAGTGTAGGTACTTATTGTGCAAAGTAATTCTTATTTAAGAGATGGTTGTAGGGGTGGTTGGGCATCTGACTAAGAAATTGTTAGTCAAGAGGTGGAAACAAGTCGGAGAGTGTTGTGTACAGGGTCGAGCAAGAAGCTAGCGAAGTTGGCGGCGGCGCGCTCCGCCCTGGCCGCGCTGGAGGAGGGCGGCGGCCCGCGGAGCGACCCCCTGCCCGCCCAGCACGGCCTGCACCAGACGCTCGCCGACCACATCGGCAAGCTCGTCAACGAGAAGTTCAACGAGCTCATGAAGAACGACGTCGTGCACTCGAAGCGCAAGGTGCTGGCGGGCATCGTCATCACGACGGGGGGCCGCGCGGAGGGCGCGCGCGTCGTGGCCGTCACCACCGGCACCAAGTGCGTGTCGGGCGAGCACATGTCGGTGTCGGGCCGCGCGCTCAACGACTGCCACGCCGAGGTCGCGGCGCGCCGCTGTCTGCAGCGCCATCTGTACGCGCAGCTCGCGCAGTACGCGCGCGCCGCGGACCCCACCGTGCCCATCGAGGACAACGACCTCGAGCCGCTGCCGGGTACGCATCGCTCGCCGCCGGTCGGCCCGGAACCTCGCGTCCGACCATATCGTACCGCGACTAACCGCGCCCGCCCGCAGGCGGCGGCTACCGGCTGAAGCCGTCCCGGCAGGTGCACCTGTACGTGAGCACGGCGCCGTGCGGGGACGGGCGCATCTTCTCGCCGCACGAGCCGCACCTGGCGGAGCCGGACCGGCACCCCAACCGGCTGGCGCGCGGCCAGCTGCGCACCAAGATCGAGTCGGGCGAGGGCACCATCCCCGTGAAGAACTGCCACAACGTGGTGCAGACGTGGGACGGCGTGATGCAGGGCGAGCGCCTGCTGACCATGTCGTGCTCGGACAAGGTGGCGCGCTGGGCCGTGCTGGGCCTGCAGGGCGCGCTGCTGTCGCGCCTGCTGCGGCCCGTGTACCTGGCCTCGCTCGTGCTGGGCTCGCTGCTGCACCCGCACCACATGTACAGGTCGGTGCCATACTCCGAGCTATTCTTTGGTTGCGACGCATGCTACGACATGTCCCCACTAGTGTTAGATCTAAGTTTGTACCATATGTCCCTCGCCTCGGTACTACGCTGTGACCACAAACGTAACTTGCTTTCTGCTTCATTCATACACTAGGACGTATTTGAATTAGACAAACATTACAGGTGAATGTTGTCAATATGTAGGTGTTTATGTTTATATTACAACTTACTCACGTAACTGTTTGACGAGGAATTCGACTAGTTTCAAGCTATGGTAGAGCGGCGCGACAGTCGCCGCGTCGGGTCGCGGAATACTACTCATGAATATGAGCCTCTCGCCGAAAACATGATAATTAATTTAATATTGTAGGTATTTCTACAAATACAAAACCCAACAACCAATTTGATGTAACCATTCAGATTTTTCATACGAGAGTTGAGCCTACGCTTGAGTATACTTAGCAGGTGCTTATATTATTTATAATACGTTACAACGCACGGTAGGAATTGGTCTTACATCGTGTGTGCAGTACGAACATACGATGTCAAGTTACAAGTATACAGTTGACATATATAACACTCAGACCCGGAATAACAATTTGTGTACAAGATTACACAGAGTTGTTACGTGCGGGGATCGAACCCGCTACCCGTTGCGTGGCAATCAGTTACCCAACCATTGCGCTTACGTATTTAGTTGAAATTGTTCGGGGCATTCACTTTACCCTGCACCACCGTGTTTCTGTAGTACATGTGTTACTGTTGTTATACATAGATATACGAGGGGTTTGGGTTAGAAATGAAACGACATGATGTTGTACAATATTTGTATGTCGGGGGCGCGGGGCGCGGGGCGCGGGGCGCAGGGTGGGGCGGGGGCGCGTCACTCGATGGAGTAGGGCGACGTCCGGTGAGTCAGCAGGAAGTACGAGCCGCGCGCCCTGCAACACGACAGGCGCATCATTACATCGGACTCACTCGGCCGGCTGTGGAACTTGAACAGCGTGCAGTACATACGTGCGCGGGGACAACTACTGTGACTACGTATTCTGTACAGTACGTATAGTTAGGGCGCCACGCTGAGCCGGGCGCCGGCCGGGGCCAGGCCCAAGAGTTTCCGCAGCGCCCCCCACCAGCCCCCGGCCCCCAACTCCAGGGTGACCCCGGGCAGGGGCGCGGGGTCTCTGCCGACGTAGCGCGAGGTCTCCCTGGCGACGTGCGCGAGCTCGCCTGCGCTGCTCTTGACGCGGGTAGTGACGTCACGCGCGACGCTCACCAGCGGCGCGCCCCGTACGAGCGCGCCCAGTACTCCGAGCGCGCCCAACGTCGGCCACGAGTCGGTGGCAGCGTCCCGGCGCAGTGCTGGTAGGAACCGCTTGTGTCTGCTGTGTATGGGTGCGGTCGTGAGCTCGAACACGAAGTAGTGCCGCGGGTGTAGCATGCCCGCACCTGTAAGCGTGCGCTGCTGTACAAGCTGTGTGCGGTGGGTGCGGTGGGTGCGTGGGTGCGTGGGGCGGTGGGTGCCTGGGTTCGTGGGGCGATGAGTCTCACGTGGCGGGGGCCGCGCTGCCCATGTGGGCGGTGCGTGCGCCGGCGCAGTGTCCGCGCGTGTAGTCTCGCCAGGAGGGACACTGCGACGCGAGGAAGCTGCGCGGGCGCAGCACGGACTCCGCGTAGAACTGGTACGACCGCCAGTGGCTGCAGAAGACTACATCGGACCGACATGTTACTTACTCAGTCACTCAGTATTACTGCTGATTATTATTTTAATTATTAAAATGGTCATTATCAGCTCGGAGTCTAGGAATTCTCTCGTGTCCAGACCAGAGACTCCGATTCTGAAAAGGGCACCAAAGTACTCGTAACTCGTCTGGTGTTGCGGGTGTCCATCCACATATGGCCTCGGTTGCTTACCATCAGGTGACCCGTCTGCTCGCTCGCCGACCTGTATTACAAAAAAAATACAATTTATTAGGCCGGTGTCAGGAAATTCGGCGTTGTTTCCCTCTCTATGAAGTGGGGGAACAGAGAGTCCACCTTTGTGTCCACTATTACATGTCCAGTGTAGTGGGTGCAGTATGTACTCAGTACTCACACTTGTTGAGCAGCAGTTGTTGCGGCAGTACCACCTCCAGCTCGCACCCAGGCTGGGGGCTGGCGCCGCCGTTGGGGAAGAAGTCCGCGTGACCCAGCGGGTGCTTGTACCCTGGACACGATACAACTGTTACATTCCGCAGTGAAATCAAACACAAGATATTATTAGTCATGCTCCGCCCTCCTGCCACGACCGGCCTAGAGATTACCAGAGGCTCTCTTAATTTACAATCTCCAAAGTGCTAGTGACGCACCTGTAACGCCTCTGGTGTTGCGGGTGTTGATGGGTGGCAGCAATAACTTACCATCGGACGATCTGTTTGCTCGTCAGATGTAAAGACCTGAAGCAGCTGTGAGTGGTTGTAGTTACCGAATATCCCGGCGTCAGTGTGTATGACGTCCACGAAGTCCGCGTCGCTGGGGTCCAGTCTCTGGTCCGGGTGGACCCCAGCGAACAGGGGCAGGGCGGGGTCCAGGCCGGTGATGCGCGCGACGCGGCCCGCGCGCAGGGCGGCCCCGGCGACCCCGGCGGCGTGGGCCCCGAGGCTGTGGCCCACGAGGTGCGTGTGGTTGAGGCGCAGGCCCCGCGCCGCCAGGTAGTCCAGCAGGCGCGCGGCGTACCGGCCCACGTACCACGTGTTGTGCGCCGCGGCCGGGTACCAGGGACCCGCCTCCAGGCGCGCCGCGTCCACCATGATGACGTTGCTGTCGCCGCGCTGCATGTACGCTGCAACATCGCTCGCTGTCGTACTGTCTGTCTCTGTCCCTCCGGCGTACACTACACGTGTATACGTGTCTGCTCACCCTCTCTGACGAGCACGGCGCTGCCATCCTCGGGCTGCTCCATGAAGGCGTGGAAGTAGACGACGGTGGGGGCGTTCCAGTCGATGCTGGACGCGAACAGTAACTCGTCGTCGTCCAGCGCCAGGCGCTGCGGCACTGTCGGGTTGTGTCTGTACACACACACATACATACATACATACATTATTTCACCACCGCTGCTCTTCACGCGGGTGTCGTATACCCGACTTATAGGAGTACATATTTGACAGAGCAACTGCGTTCTTTGGTCAACCTGATCCGTTCCAACTGGCATCTCCAACTAGCTCGCCAACCTTGGAGATGAAGTCTAACCCCTTCCCCTAAGTAGCAGAGACCCGCACGTAGTCTGTATATATTGTATATACTGTCGTGTGGGTACTGACCTGGTGTAGAGCTGGAAGGAGACGTCGGTGCCGGCGTGCACGTACGGACACTTGGCCTTGTCCACGGGCGCTATCTGGAGCAGCGCGTTCTCGTACTGCACGCCCGGCGGACCTGCGCGCGGAGACGACCAATATATACAACATAGGGTCAATCTGTGGGTCATACAGAGGAGTTGCGACTACTCAGCGAGACTACCGGGCAAGGAGTCTCGGTTCGATTCACGGGTCAAACAAAGTATTACTGGGTTTTTTCGAAATATCTCAGTAGTAGCACGGAGTCTGGAATTGTGCCCGGTATATGGCAATAGGCTCCCCCCTATTACATGGGACTCATAACATAAATTGACAAAAGTGGGTGTTACATTGTACAGTGGCATTAAGGGCCGTAATTTGTACCTCTGCCTACCCCTTTGGGGATAAAAGGTGTGATGTTATGTTATGATAGTCCCGCGGTACGTTACTCTGCCGGCCATGTAACACCACAGTGTACACCGCTCTCAAACTATGCTTGAGGTTGTGAGTAGAGGCCCAATTCTCCCCCCTCCTCCCCTCACAACCGGAAACACATTTTGTATTTCATTTGATGTTGCAGCGCAGTACTGATACATCATCCAGTGATCCGTCAATCCATTAACTACCGCGTCTCCTGAATAATCCGATCCCAACCACTGCATAAAAGTATTACACACGAACCCACGAGCCGTCAAACATAATGTATATAGCATATATATCTATACATGCGCCGGCGGTAAGACAGGGCAAAAAGTATTGGGATTATCGCCAGTTACACATAACAGTCAACCAGTGTAGTGTAACATCTTACAATGTTGTAACAAACACGGTGTTACAGCGATGTTACAGGCGCGCAGTAACACTGGCCCGGTTCCGGTCCGCCGCGGGCGAGTCCTGCGCCCCCGCGCCCCCCCGCGGCGACGAGTTATGTTAATTCACTCCTCGCTAGTACTGCCGGTGGACAGGTCACTTTCTACAGCTAGGCACTACTGCTTTATAATTACACTCGTCTCGTTGGACTACGGGGAATTCAATTAACATACATTCTAATAGAAGGGACCTCTGTCTGTCTATCTGCAATGCTACTCCGAAATGACTGGTTTTTCATTTATTTTCACAAATATAATTCTACCCTTTTCGTGATTGTATAACAATGCTTGCGTTGTATTTCCTCCTTTAATGTTGCGGGTGTCCATGGACGGCGCCAATTGCTTGCCATCAGATGATCCATTCGCTCATTAGCTAAACAATCCCATGTAAAAGGGCGGGCGAAGACACGTGCTCACACTATACTAGACACAGCATTAGTGTAATGTAGTCGCGACCAGTTCTCCCAGGCGTCCATAACTGGCGGCCGGCGACTACTGGGGAGTTGCACAACTTGCATTGCACTGCTCTGTCATATAACATCCTGCAGGACTGGCTCTTACATACATACATACCGACACACTGACTGACTGACTGACTGACATATGATGTAACGTCCATCCCTCGATAGACTGTAATGTCTCCAGTGTTTTCATAACTTGACTCCTCGCTACGATCGTCTTATTATATTCTTAATCACTACATAGTATAAAACTAACTCGCCATCCGCCGTCTGTCAGTCCCTATGTATGCTTAGATCTTTAAAACTACGCAACGGATTTTGATGTGGTTTTTTTTATTAGATAAGAGTGATTCTTAAGGAAGGTTTATAATGTATAATACATGCATATTGCACCCGTGCGAAGCTAGTATACTATATTATTGACTGCACGGTTGGTACGGTGGCTGGACAACAAACTGCCGCGCAACGTGTCACACGTTCGATTCCCGCACGGAGCAACGCTTCGTGTGATTCACAGATTGTTGTTCCATGTGTATGTGAACTTGTATGTTTGTTAACGGACCCACGACACAGGAGACAATCCTAGTGTGGGGCAACGTTTAAAAAAGTAACAAATTTTCGTACTCAGAATCAATTTGATAATTATTCATGTTACAAAGAGCTAGTTCAATGACCCCGCGGGATTTAAACCTGTCACATTGACATACACTGCGTGGTGTCGTCTCTCAATCAATGTGCCTGTATCTATATCTCTATAAGTGTCTGCAATGTATAGTGTACAGTCCTGGATTACATCACCGTCGAGTGTTACCCAGCGTGCCGCAGCGGCGCGCGCCGTCTGACCATGTTACCGCGACACGCTCCAGTAGTACTTGTCGCAAGCGCACCAACTAACCAATATACCACTCACTGGGAGTCGAACCGCATACCTAGCTTGAGCGAGTCTCACTATGTCGCACGCGTCGTACATCCCATAATATTAATATCACTCAGACATACATAACATAACGCGGCGTAAACACATCGAAGGAACAGACAGAGACGACCTTAATGCCTACATTTTGAGACTGCCTCGTTGGCCGAGTGGTCGCAAGTGCGACTGCCAGGCAAGATGTCTCGGGGTCGATTCCCGGATCGGGCAAAGTACTACTGGATTTAAAAAACATCTCAGTAGTAGCACAAAGTCTGGAATGGTGCCCAGTTTATGGCAATAGGCTCACCCCCTATTACATGTGACTCATAACATAAATAGTGAAAAGTGGGCGTTACATTGTAGTGGTATTAAGTGCACCTCTGCCTACTCGGGGATAAAAGGCGTGATGTTATGTTGTGTTATTTTGAGACGGTGAAGTCGGTTACAAATGTAGATATTAAAGTATTGCTCCGAATGCGTATACATTTGGATTTGTACTAGACTCTAGTAACTCGAGTCTTGGATCCGTTGGCTTGCGATGGTTTGGGGTGATAGAGTCGGTAATACATAGTCTGACAAAAACAAAACAGATCCCACAACTTTGAGACAAGGTCACCATCACCAGTAATGCGTGTTATCACACAACACGTCGCCCACTGTCACGTGGATGTTGATGTATGTGTAGGCTCGCCATACTTCGTTACCAGTTTGGCGGTGAGTTTGAGTTTGACTGCTGAGCAAAGCCTCTTCTCACACGGAGAAGGTTTGACCATTAACCACCACGCTTGCTCAATGCGGGTTGGCGATATCAAGATTATAATTAGAAATTATAAGCCCAGGTTTCCTCACGATGTTTTCCTTCACCGTTTGTCAGTGGTGTCTGAATAATTTTAGGAAGTACGTATAACTCGGAACAAGTCACATTGGTACTTGCCGTTGGTAGGTTTCGAACCCGCACTCTCATGCATGAGGTGTCTTAAACCTCTGGGCCACCACGACCCCAAGTAATACAACGACTGTGCATAAAACTGTCGTGAAACAACCAAAGCGTTGTATCCCATGTAAATGAAATTCAATCCTCTCCCCCCAGCCCCAAGGTTCAAATCCCCAAAAAGCCGGTGCGCCGTCGATGGCTTACCATCAGGCGATCCGTCTGAATCATTATAAATCAGTATACTCACGTATGAGGGACAGGAAGCAGGCGAGTGGTACCACGGACTGCATGGCGGCACGAACACTAAACTAAACTATATTATTTATTATTGAACTATACTATGTGACTATGTGAGTATGTGAGTATGCTACGCTATGGTGCCGGGCAGTAGTGCGGCGCGTGCAGTGCGTCCGAGGCGCGGCGGAGCAGTGTGAGTTGGGTAACGCTACAAGTAATACATCGCCGCATTGCTCGCTCCCTTTAATTACTGTTTACATAAACTCCCCAGTACCGCACGACTCGTCCACTGTCTGGCCACACTCCCTGGTACCTACATTCATGCGAGTAGGACTGCCTCGTTGGCTAAGTGGTCGCAAGTGCGACTGCTGGCCAAGTGGTTTAGGGTTCAATTCCCAGGTCGAGCAAAGTATAGCTGGGTTTAAAAAAATCTCAGTAGTAGCACGGAGTCTGGAATCGTGCCCGATATATGGCAATAGGCTCACCCCCTATTACATGGGACTCATAACATAAATAGTAAAAAGTACTGGACTGTAAGTGTCGTAATGTGCACCTCTGCCTACCCCTTTGGGGATAAAAGGAATGATGTTATGTATGTAATTATTAATCCGTAATATTAATATACCAGGCACAAATCAAGTCTCCGTGATACTACTGTAGTACTTTAGTAGTACTTTGCCCGACCCAGGAATCGGACCCCAGAGCCCTTGTCCGGCAATCACTTAGCAACACAGAAATAATTATTTCAGAAGATAGTGGATAGTGGGAGACGTGTCCATGAGGTGTGGACGACACACGTACACTCAGGTCCACGCCGAGTGTCCCCGCGGTGTTCATGTGGAGTGTGTCTGTGACGTCACCGACGTGTTCTGTGGGGAACCTGTAACACAGTTTGCTTTATTTGCTCACTAGCTTTTACCCGCGGCTTCGCTCGCGTCACAAAAGAATAAAAAGTAGCCTATGTGACATATACCAATACACGTAGCGCCATCTATACTTTTGTTTATCCTCGGGAATATCAATTTTTTCCGGGTTAAAAAGTACCCTACTATTTAATCCGGACTTCTAACTTTACGTCTGCAAAAATTCAAAGCAATCGGTTGAGTAATTACGGCGTGAAGGTGGAACAAACAAACAAACTCACTTTCAGATTTTTAATTAGTAAGGATTAGTAAGGATAAGGAAGTAAGGATTATTACAGATTTGTCTCTTACAGTGCGTACATTCAATCTTTCTTTCGTTGTTATCTGAATGGCGACGCGATAATGTTTGGTTGTCCCTAGGACATGTATGTGTTACAATGTGTTGGTGTTGTGTACGCTCTGTGTAACGCAGTGTAACGTGTTGTGTACACAGAGCGATCTGCGGTCGTATCGAGGCGTACCTGTCGTGTCTGCCGCCCCCCTACCAGCTCCAGCGCCCCCTACTGTCGCGCGCCGCCAGCACCGAGGCCCGCACGCCGGCGCGCGCGCCCTCCTTCAGCGTCTGCTGGGTCTGCACGCACCAGGTACTGAACCCACTACACTACACTGCACGGTACACACAGACAGGACAGCACAATAACTCCCCGCCCTGGCCGCAGCTGCCCGAGGTGATCAACGCGACGACGGGCAAGCTAGAGAGCGGGCAGCCGTCCCTGCTGTGCAAGCAGAGCATGTTCGCCCGCTGGCAGTACCTGGCGCGCCGCCTGCCGCCGCTGCCGCAGGACGCCGACCTCGACCTGCTCACCGCCCGCGCCGACCACGACCTGGCGGCCGACGCGGCCGGCCCCGCGCCCGCGCCGCGCCCGCCGCGCCCGCCGCGCCCCCCCGCGCCCCTCGACGTCTCCGACACGCTGCTGTACAACGAGGCCAAGCAGATGTGTCCCGCGTACCAGGTCAGTACTCAGTCGGCGCTCAGTCGGAGCTGTAGTGTACCTCTAGTAGCGCGTACTGTATGTGTGTGTGTGTGTGTCTGTTCGTGTGTAGCTCGCCAAGAAGCGGCTGATCGAGGCGTTCGAGAAGGCGAAGCTCGGGAGCTGGATCAAGCGGCCGCTGGAGCAGGACCAGTTCGTGTGCGAGCTCACGGACGCCGACCCCGCGCTCCTGTTCACTTAGGCGGGCCCACAGTCCGCGCCGTGTGGCGCCGCGCCCCCGCGCCCCCGCCGCGCGCGCCCCCGCGGCGAGGGCTGAGCGCGCGCGCCGGGGGCGGGCGATGATGTCTGCCAAAGCTGTCGCTAGCAGTGTTCCGAGACGCGGCCCGTCGGCCCCGGCCGGCCCGGCCCCGGCCCGCCCGGCCCCGGCCGGCCCGCGCTTTGGCAGTGGATCATGTCGCGGCGCCACACGAGCTCGGTGTAGACCAACCTTGGAGGCAGAGTACACTCCCTGCGCCGCACTGTCCCCGCCCTGTCACTCCCCGCCCTGCCACCGCGCGCACTGCCCGCCGCAGTTACTCACAGACATATCGCGCGCCCCGGTGCTGCGCGATGTTTTCTCCGCTCCGCGTCTGTGTAAGTCGTGTCCGGCTGTGTATGGCTGTGTATGGCTGTGTACGGGTGTGTATGGCTGTGTACGGGTGTGTATGGCTGTGTACGGGTGTGTATGGCTGTGTATGGCTGTGTACCGGAGCGGACTAGACATGGCGCAGCGTGCGGCGCGCTGATTGTCTCCGAGTAGCGCGGCGTGTGTCGCTATATAATATATCGCTATATATACCATAATATATAATATATTGTATCGCCCGGTCAATTGTGAGTGCCATGTGTCTACTGTATACCTGCATATAATAATAATAATGTTGATTACTCCTGTGTGTGGACGCCGCGCCCCGCGCCCCGCGCCCCGCCCCGCGCCGGGACGAGTCGTCACTATACCAAAGATTGCAAGTAGTCTGTTTGTATTATATCGATCAGTCGCCGAGTCCCCGCGCCGCGCCGCCGGGCGGTCCATTAGTGTATTGCATGTTGTTGCTGACTTATAACACGGTACTATTCACAAGCCTGTGTTAGTCTCACAGTCTCACACGTTCTGTCTCAGTCTCACAGAACACATTTAGGCCCTCAATGCATCTGTACCTCCTCTCGTGTTCCGGGTGTATATTGACGGCGACGATCCGTTTAAATATATATAGAAGGTTTGTGAATAGTACACATATTATAGTTATGTACCATTTTTTGTTTGTTTGTCCTTTCCCTGTGTAGTTACCGACCGAATGTAGTCAAAGTGTGTAGTGTGGGTTCAGTTCCCGTGTAGAGACCTATATTTTATAAAGTTGACATGATAGATTATTACGTCTCACTCACACTGACGCAGTCAGTCGGTGGCCACACACGTACGAGTTAACTTATTGTGTGTGTGTGTGTGTGTGTGATGTCTGAACATGTCGGTGATACAACACAAAGAACGTATTGTTAAGAGTATTTTTTTAAATAAAGCTTGTAACACACTCGTAACGTCTGCGTCAGTCAGCGCTCCGTGTATTCTAGTCTGTTCTCAACTTAACTTAGCATAGAGCCAACTCCATCGGGGGATCTCTTATGTAGTAAATATTAAAATCGTACAATTAGCTAGTTTGAATAGTCGGTAAGTCGATTCTAAATCAAAGATATCAAAATTAGTTGTTTATATTTTTTGAATTTATCGCGAGTTGTGAGTGAACGCACAAGAGATAATCTGAGTGAGATCTGAGGATGTAGTGAGTAGTGTTAGTCAATCAAGTTTAGTGTAATAATGAGTGAATTATATTGTAGTTAGACTAATTATTGTAATTAACAAAAATCATTGAGAGTTACTTAGTATAAGATTCTGTAATTGCATAATTTGGCACAAATCTGTGATCCCCTGTAATGTAAGACCAAACGAAACGAGCCATGATGGTTACGTAGCGCCATCTAGTTGTAAGGTCCGGAACTATTTGCTCTGTTATTGATGTTGTTCTACTAGATGGCGCTACTTTGCAGCGGTACGTTACGAGCTGTCAATTGTACCACGTTATGATAGTTGCTTAGTTTATAACTTTATAATATTAGTTAATATAATAATGTAATATTGATGGCGCCGGGCGTCACTCGCTCGACTACTGTAAGCTCAAGATTAAGTTGAATAAATCAGTTTGTATGCAGTGCCGACTATTATTTCGCTCTCCTGTTTTACCACCACTAAACCATCTCTTAACTAAGTGTTACTTAGCGTGACGTAGCATAATAAACTAACCCCTTACTTGTACTGTTACATGTCAGTTACAGGTGGGTGAAAACAAAAACGACTAAGTGTTACCTAGCTTAGCTTAGGGGTTTCTTTAAATTTACGAGAGTAGGTAGTGAAAATGGGGATAGTCTCCTTCTCCTAATAAAATATTATGAAACAGACCAATAGCACTTTTACTGTCTCCACCCTGCCTGTTATTTTAGGGACACACGTCCATATTGCTATGGCCTGCACAGTGCACTGCTAGGTACTAATATTATAAATGATTTTTTATGGAATAGGAAGTAATCGAGCAGACGTATCACCTGATGGTAAGCAATTGGCGTCATCGTGTGAAAGTGTCTGTATGTTTGTTACTCAATCATGTCAGAACGGCTGAAGGGATCGGGATATTTGGAACAGAGGTACATTATGGTCTGGAATAACACATAGGCTACTTAGGTATCGCACGGGAAGGCGGGCGAAGCCGCGTTCAGAACCTAGGTACAGATAAAGGTAAAAAATTAGTTGCGGCACGTAAGTAAAAGTAGGTATCAAAATCTACTATAAGAATGTATTGTAACTTCCGTGAGACATACTAAATAAATTATTATGTTTTCGACTTACTCACATAATAATTTGACGAGGAACTCGACTAGTTTCAAGCCATGAGGCTCAGAGGCTAGAGGCTCATATTCATGAGCAGCATTTCGCGAACCGCGACGCGGCGACTGTCGCGCTTCTACTGTTGAATGGAATACCAGCATGGCTTGACACTAGTCGAGTTCGTCGTCAAATTATTACGTGAGTAAGCCGAAAACATAATAATTTATAAGAATGTAGGTTAAATTCTAGATCCACTTGAAGTGTCCCACATACGCCACAGGGTGCTCCCAGTGTCATATCACAGCTCCCGATACTGACACATTCCCAGATAACTGCCGACTGGGCGCAGTGTCGGCGCGGACACCGCACTGTGTCAGCGTGATTAGATAACAGCTTGCGACATGTTCCCGGGTTACGTCACTATGTACAGCTTGGCACAACACAACAGAGTTTGGCATAATTGAGGTCGCTAGTGTCGCACCGGTGCCGCGGAGGACTTTTTTTTTTTAAGTTGGGAAAATCATCGAATGACTGCACCCGCCTGGGTGAGGCGGAAGGGAGCCGCGGAGGACTTAACGGGTTACCGGGCTCGAAGTGCAGGAGTAGGAACGGGGTGGTTTTTAGTCAGTAAGAGTCTGACTCTCTGAAAATCACCGCCTCACCCAGGCGGGAGAAGTCATTCGATGATTTTCCCCCTAAAAAAAAGTGTCGCACCTGTGGCAACCTGGTACACTGCGCCTCAATCTGTTTCGATATCTTTTTTTTATTTTTACCGAGTTTAAAAAGAGGACGTGCTCAGGGCTGTCTTACACTACGCTGGGGCCCTTGGGCACACTTTAATTTGGGGCCCTTTTGGAATATTTTTTTAACGTTGCTCCAAACTAAGATTGTCTCCTGTGTCGTGGGTGCATTTACAAACATACAAACTCACATTCACATCACATCCAGACCTGAAACAACAATTTGTGGATCACACAAAGATTTGCTCCTTGCGGGAATCGAACCCATTACACGTGTAGCGAGCGGGTGTGTGTCCGTCGTACAAATTGTCGGTCCTTCGAGGCCCCCTGAATGTGGGGGCCTGGGCGCGGGCCCCGAGCGCACGTGTGGTAGAGACGGTACTGGAGGTACTATGTTCGAATGATTGTTTATTCATGGGATGTGGTCCGAAGTGAGTGATTCAGTCCAAGACAATATTAGTCCCAGCTGTCACCGCGTCAAACTCTTTGTCAAGCTGTATGTATGTACACACGGCTACACATCGAGCTTTTCATAACCAGTATAAACTGAACGTTACATGTGCGGAAAGATAATGCGACGCGACACCAGGGTAAACTGGTTTTGTATAGATTGATGTGTGGCCGTGTGTACTCGTGTGTATGTGTAGTGGAACATGTTGTACCCTGGTGGCGAGCTGCACCTGTTGCGACACGCCGCGAGACACGGCCGGGGCCGCGGGGAATATACTATACGGGGAGTATGGTGTAAGTAGAACAAATATTAAGAATTTGAAAGGATGAATTGAAGTAGAGTAACGAACGACGTATGCAGAGCGGATATGAATGGCACCGTTGGTAGAGGGCGCCCTAGACAGACATAATATATCAACCAGACTGAGGATATATGTACAGTTTAAACATAACATAACATCACACCTTTTATCCACGAAAGGGTAGGCAAATGGGCACATTACGGCACTAAATGCCACTGTACACTGTAACACCCACTTTCACTATTTATGTTATGAGTCCCATGTAATAGAGAGTGGGCCTACTGCCATATATCGGGCACAGTCCCAGACTGCGTGCTACTACTGAGAAAAACCCAGTAATACTGAGCGTTTATTGAAAAGGCAGCAGTTGGAAGTAAATACTTTGTAGGTACCTACTTTATGCGTAAGATATACGTTATTCAGTAATAATAGTTGTTTGTTCAGGTGTTCCTCTCATTTCTTATCTTACTACTGTTTTGAGCCGTTTGGTGTCGAAACACTTGAGCCATGGGGTCCCAGTGCACACGCTGTGTTTAAAGATATCTCCCGTAGGCTAATCGACTCTACACGTGACCAGAGGGCTGGCTTTTTCTTCGGACAGAAAATAAGCATTGCCATTCAACGTGGCAATGCTGCCAGTCTTCTGGGAACTTTCCCCTGTGATGCGGACGAATACTTTGACGCCTAAATTAAGGGTATAATTTTTGTTGTTTAGTTGTAGTTAATTTTAAGTTGTAAATATTTATGTAGTTATATTAATTATGTTATTTTCTTATCATATGTGACATTACGGCCCGGAACATCAGTAGGTGAATCACTTCTTATAAAGAGTTATTTCTTGCGGAATAGAACCTGCGATATGGTTCATACAGCTGGTGGTGCAGCCAGTTGTACTCCAATATTGTGGACTGTTGTGTTAGAGGGTAGGTTTAGTAGAAGTCCAGCTACGTGAACTGTCGTGAGTCATACTAAATTAATTATTGTATTTTTGTATTGTACAAAACCTTTTACAGCTCCAGTGACTAGTTTTCAGAAAATTACAATATATCAGCTACATTTTATACCTTCATAGATTTCTTAAAGTTTTAGGAGCTAGGTAGGAGAGCCTAGTGTCCTAGAGGAGGTTTCTTCTTATCTTCTAGTAGTAGTAAAACTCCGATGAGAGGTGTTGACAAGAATGATTTTATTTCGCCAAACTACGCTACTTATATTTCTATTTACATATTTACAACTAGACAAGATCAGATATAGTTAGGTAATAGTTTCGACCAATAGCGGCGCGCCGGCGTGCGCGGGGCGCGCGGGGTGCGGGGCGCCGCTTTGCACACGGCACTATCGGTTCCTTCCGTATAAGTATGCCCGCGCGGCGCGAGCGCGCGCATTTCTCCGAGAGCCGGCGTTGAGTGAAGACTGAAGACTACCTACAGATGAATGAAGATGAATGCAAGTACTCCGGCCTCCGGCTCCGGCTCCGCTTGCGCTGCTTGGCTGCTTGCTTTACCAAACCGCTTCTTTCGAAGCGATCGCTCGCGGCACGGTGTGATAACGCTGTTGCCGCAGTGATGATTATCGTTTCTATGCAGAAAGTCGAAAACTGTCTTTTTCAAGACAATTGGTTTCTGGTTTCTTAAAACGGAGTCAAAACGTAAACTGTCTTTTTCAAGACAATTGGTTTCTTGTTTCTTTAAACGAAGTGAGTCTATAACTTTGGTAAAGGTATTGTGGAAGGTATCTGGTATATGGAAAGGTATTCGGTGGTACTGGTAACTGGTAGGTATGTAGTCGTGCGGTGCGGCTACAGTACTCCCCCCCGAGCGAAGCGTACTGGGGTCTTGACGATTCTTCCTGTTCGCGTTTTTCGTACATCGCTGATGCTCGACGGAGGTTGACTGGGTTGATCCTGGATAGCCTCTGGTAGCGTTGCACAGTTGTCCGAGTTATCGTAATTAATGACGTAGGCAGGCTTCAGACGCTCGATAGACACGTTGGTAGTACCTCTAGGTGTTTGTAATGTGAAGTACTTGTCGCTTCTGCTGGAGACTAGGTACGGACCCTTGTACGGACGTTGCAGCGGTTTGCGAACTGCGTCGTCACGTACAAATACGTGGCTGCATGTTTGCAGGTCTTTGTGCACGAAGATACTCAGTCGGTTAGTGTGCGACTGATAAGCGGGCGTTAAGCTTGTGATAACACGATGCAAGTCAGCCACATAGTCGTTATCCATCTTCGTGTAGGTAGGCGATGGCGATATGAAATCGCCGGGTAGCCGTAGTTCTTGTCCGTAGGTAAGTTGAGCGGCACTAGTGTTAGTGTCGGTGCGCGTAGCGGCTCGTAGTCCCAGTAGCACGGTAGGTAACTCGATCAACCATTTGTTGTTGTCGGCGAGTCGAGTCATGAGCGCGGCTTTCAATGTACGATGCCAGCGTTCTACGATCCCGTTACTCTGCGGGTGGTAGGCAGTAGTACGAGTTCTTTCTACTCCCAGTAGCTGAGCGAGATTTTTGAATAAGCTGCTCTCGAACTGTCGTCCTTGATCAGTCGTGATTTTGATAGGACAACCAAAGCGTGATATCCATGCTTCATACAGCTTTCTTGCGACGACTTCGGCTGATATCTCTCGCAGAGGGACGGCTTCTGCCCAGCGGGTGCAGCGGTCGATCATAGTGAGTAGGTATCGATGTCCGCTCGAAGATGTAGGCAGAGGTCCGACGATGTCAATGTGTACGTGTTCGAAACGCTCGCTCGGTGGGAATGATGTGACGTCACTGTGCGTATGTCGATGTACCTTTGATTGTTGACACTGAATGCATGACTTTGCCCACTCGCCAATGTCGGTGTTCATAGACGGCCAGAAGTATCGTTGCTGCATTAGTTTGCGTGTAGTTCGAATACCAGGATGACTT